GGTCCCTGTCAGTTTCGGACTTCGGTCCGATGCAGGGGGCAAGACCCCAGTTAGTCCGGACTTCAGTCTGATGCAGGGGACAAGGTCCCAGTCAGTTCCGGACTTTGGTCCGATGCAGGGGGCAAGGCCCCAGTTAGTCCGGACCTCGGTCCGATGCAGTGGGCAAGGCCCAGTATGTGCTTTATATGTCATTGTATGGTATGTGGTAGTTTGGGGGAGCTCACTAAGCTTCGTGCTTACGGTTTCAAATTTTGGTTTCACGTACTCAGTTTTCAAAAGAGGAGCTCGGAGAGATTGCAGTGCATACACCATAGTCAGTTAGTCTAGGATTGTTTACTCTGATAAAAAGAATATGTTTTGAATTAATACTCTGAATTTATGTTATGACCGGTGATATGTTTTTATAAATATGATTTTAGTAATGTTTTAAAATAAAATTTTTAGTCGTGATTTTTGGGTCGTTACAATATCTATCAGCTGAGTCTAAACACTTAGGATACCCACACTACTATAATCGTTAATCTTTGGAGTGAGATACATATATATGGATCTATACGGGGTTGACATCCCCACCTGCGGTTGCTAGCTACAGCCTCGACCCATAATCGAAGCGGGTGATAAGTGTCTATAATTGTTACTACAACGTCCAATGAAGCGTTGTAGGGTGTGCATTTAGTCATATAGCTCAGTTATAGGACTCACTATAAACATTATCTGGAATCTCTCTCTCACTACAAAACATGGACTTGGTTGCTTTTAAAACTATTTAAGTATGGAATTACTTATGTAACATTATAGTTTGGTTTTCAAGTATATTCAAAGATTCATTACGAACATAGTTTTAAGTATGGATTTACTTATACAAAAGATACATTTTGGCTTTCAAAGATTCATTAAAAACATAGTCTTAAATACGAATTTCCTTATATAAAGATACATTTTGGCTTTCAAAGGCTCTTTATAAACACAATTTCTAAGTATTGTTACACCTACAAAGAAAATAGTTTTTAGACTTTTTAAAAGTGTTACTATTGTTAGCAGAAAACCTGTAACTCTTATCAATCTTGTGTTGACCCTCAAAACTACATGTATTCTTAGGAAATTACTAAACAGTTATTCATGACTGATGTGACCTAATTTACTTGTTGTTGTATTATATGCCTATCTGTTAAGGCAATTCATGTATTACTTTTTCTATAAACATCTTGTTTTCAAATATCAAGATGGAACACAAATGCTATTTTGTTTATTTTTGTACTTGTGTTATATAGTTAGTTTACATGTGATCCATGAACTTAGTCGCACAACCCGACGTGTTCTGCTGCCTCGGCCGGGGGTTTGACACAACGACATAACGCTGGAGGTAAGTATTTATATTATAATAATTTGAAGATAATTGTATTGTAATGTGCTATGCATAACAACATACAAATAAATGTTTTTTATAGCTGAAAGCAAAAAAGATGTTACTGAGTATGCTGAGAAGGTCATCAATAGGAGGATCAACTAATCCTCTGCTTTTCGGGTATGCCAGATTAATCAAAGCAGATGTGAGGTGACTGATCAAATGAAAATTGGTATAGTAAACTTGGAAACTCATTTATGAATATGTGGGAAATGGAATTTGTCAGGTATACCTTGTTCTCATGCTATAACGATATTCAAGGAACTGAGATACCAACACTACAGTACATTGGTGTCATTGTACTTCAAAGTGGAAACATATTGGTCAACATATATATATATATATATATATATATATATATATATATATATATATATATATATATATATATATATATCTTGTGTTTCATGTGCTAGTTCCAACTGAATACGAACAACCAGATGAATTCATGCTTGTATTGCAACCATTGACGGACAAGCGACAATTCGTACGACCGAAAAACCATAGTTGTATCCCATCCCAAGGTGAAGGTCTGATTCAGAAAAAATGTAGTCGTTGCCAAAGGATCGGGAACACAAGAAAAAACTATGACGCTCCGTTTCCCGTAGACACAACAAAAACTGAATATTCAAGTAGGACCAAGTCAAGTGCAAAAATTAAGGTTAACTCTAAAGGGAAGTCTAAGAGTAGTTCTAATGCTAAAACTAGTCAAGAATATGATATTGTTGATCTATAAAACTCATAGCGATGTTTATACAAAATTAAAATTTTTACAAATTGTTGTTTGGAAGGATAAACTTGTTTCTGCAATATCGTCATAAGGAAACTGTTTAAAATGCACACAAGAAAAAGGGAACTATAAGTCAAACATTAGCGAAAGTTGGAACATCTATCCACTGGACACTCTCATTCCACCACAAAGCAGAATGCTCCTGCTAAGTAGGTTGCAACAATTCATTGCGGGGCGATGCATAAAGCAATATAAAAGTTAGTCTTAAGTTATTTTCTCATAGAAAACTTATAAATTATAAGGTGGTCTAAGGTACATACCCGAGTAACATCAAGAATACGTTCACAATTAGGAACATGCAAATGCCTCATCCTAGGGTATGCAACTGCCCTAGGGATAACATGGGGTATAGGGAACCCGTTATACTAATGTTAGGAAATGTCTCCATGATCCAAATCTACAAAATTAGCATGTCAAACAACTAACCAACTTAACAAAGTTACAATACTTGTTGTTTTAAAACTATTATAAAACATAGTGGACGTACCTTAAATGCATAGAAAAATCCCTGGAGAGTATATGTGTGTCTACTGTCGATCCTTGGCGTATTGGGATTCAAATGATCCTCAATCTTGTTAAACACATTACACGACTGTTTGTACGTAAAATCTCATATCAATCTCCCCCACAGGTACATATGTCAACAATTTAATTTAATAAGTATATGTATAATTTTGATATAATGTATGTAAAAAAATATATACCTGATAAACTCATCTAAATTAGAGACGAATGTAATACATTCATTACTAACCGGATGTTGAGGGTTTTCCCCCAAAACTCCTTGCTCTAGCATATACAACAACGAGACTCTCACCACGTCTACATTACTTAATTGATGAAGTAAGTTATTGAACATGTGAATAACGTCATCCACTCTCATCGAGTTTGAGATCGACATAAATGGAATACACTTCTCTAAACTCTGCAGAACCATAATTGGGGAGGAAAAACTCCCCGAACCACAAGTCTGTGACCAAGCAGAATGCTTTCATGTCAAGGGCAACCCGATAGTCGCCAACCAGAAATAAAAGCTCTTGTAGATCAACTCGATCAGAAGTAGTAGGTTCCTTGCACATAAGATAATGATAGAGTAAAGGGTGACATACGACACCCTTCTGCATGTTGACGTAATCACCAAAACATGATTGCCTAAACATGTTCCCACAAAGTGGTCGGTTTTGTAAATGCACCATTATTTTTGTCCCAAGTTTTGGCCTGCAAGTTCTGGCCTGCGGGTTGTAGTAACAACCACTTCGTATGTCCTATCATGCTACATTAAAACAAATAATTATTTAGGCGTTTCTATACGTATGTTGCAGAGGAAGTTCAAGATTACAGATTTTCAGACCAAATTTATGAGTCAACATTCCAGACCAACGATTCTGGAACATGGTTCTGGACCTATTCCTCGTATTTTGGAAGAATTTTAATTATTCTGAAGATGATTTTTGAATTCCGGACTTGTTCTAGACTAGTCAAAAGAGGATTTTTCATAACATTTATGATGTGGTACACATATACACTTACATGTAATTGTATAGGTATTATTATAAACAAAACTGAAACCTACAAATAAAGACTATGTGTAATTGTACATGTAAGTGTATATGTGTACCACATGTACAATTACACATATACACTTACATGTACAATTACACATATACACTTACATGTACAATTACACATATACACTTTAATTTAGATAATACCTATACAACTGCATAAACTAAACATGGTTTCACATATAATCTAAATTAAAGCCATAATATTATAAACAAAACTGAAACCTACAAATAAAGACTACATCTCATCACAGCTATTAGAAAACATTTCCAGTTTCAGTAGTGTCCAAAATGGGATGTACGATAATCCGAAACAGATTTAGAAAGTTAGTCCGAAACAGGTTAAAATGTATTTATAGGGGGAGCCACATTACCGATTCGGATCTACTAATTGTCTGGAATGACCCATTTCTGACCAAGTTGTCATTTTTCAAAAAAAAAATATTATTATTATTATTGATATAACATTAAAAAGTTATTAGATTACTCAATTTCCCTTTCACAATCACTTATCCAATTATTATGCTCAATCTTTTCACAGTATCCCCTAAGAGTAAGTTAGGGATTTCTCATAATAAAATATTTTAACATTGAAGCATTTTTCATCTAATCATGTATAGTCACTTATTTACATGTCATTGTATAAAAATATTATTTACTTTTCTATATACCCAAAAAATTCACATGTGCTCACCTGACTAGTTAGTAAATACTAAATTCCATCGTGGCTTCATCCTTCGTATTGCTTTCCAACTTATCATCTTGCCAAAACCTACTCAAGTAACACATCAGGTTCTTTAGATTTGTATAATCTTGTTATGCCATCTATTGTAGTGGTTCAATAACCGAACTCGATAACCATTTGTTACCTGATAAACAGCTTAACCATGTATATCGTTAGCTCGACCACTCACTTTAAACCACTCGGTAAATTAAGGTTTATAATCCCCGTAAGCAAAACTAAGAATTTAATCTTTATCAATTCAGTCCATAGCAACACTATTACTAACCAACGTTGGTTCTAATAATCCTATCATAACAACATTACATAATTGTAACTACGAAATAACGGGGCAAAAGAATACCTTATCTAATTTCGTAATCGACTCCTTGCATACCGATGTTAGTACATACTCCCGTAAATCACAATCCGTTTCTTAAATGTTCAAAGTTCTCGTTGCGAAAGCGTGCAACGAAAAAATGGTTTCAAAGTATTTATTAGGCTAGAGAACAAGTCAACATGCCGCGTCCTTTACATGCATTGGCTCCTTGTCTTGACGCGTGTCCGACTCCTACCACTCGTCTCGTACTCTTGCCATGTGTCCCTAGACGTGTCGCGTGTACCGATCTGACATGTAGCATACTCGCATCGTCACCATTCCATGACTCGCCACATGTTCGTCAATTACATTCCCTGTACACAATGCATAAACCCTTACACACTCCACATCCCACGTTTTGACTTTTGTTGACTTTCACTAAACATCATTCTACCGTTTCCTTTCATTTGTCAACAAATAAATACTAATTTTCGGTTGTTACATATGGAGCCGGTTCTTCATATGTCTCAGTGATCGAGAACATCAAAGCCGATGAAGTCGGTGAGGAAAAGCTCTAGCCACACATCATAGTTGAGGCGATGGAGGTTGATGATCAGAGGTATATATATGGGTTTTGATGTTGGTGGTCCCGAAAACTTTGTGAGTTGGCAAAGGGCGGTGAAGGAGAACATAAACGATGGAGATTATTCGAGGGAAATATGGATAAGATGGGATCTCATACCATGTTAACATTTGAAATGATTTTCTCATCTTATTCCATTGAATAATACAATATTTATACACAAATCTAAAAGAAGACATGAGTCATATACGCTAACATAGAGGTGCACAAAAATCCCCCTGGATTGATCCTAACTCGATCTTTTTATTTATTTATTTGGTTTAGTCTTTTTTAGACTGGTCCCAATCGGGTATTAGTCCCGTCTTTTTTCGGTCCGATCTTTTGTTTTTTTTCCTGATCAGTTTGGCTTTAAACAAGTCCGATATCAATTTTTTTTGTTCGCTTCATATTTTTTATTTTTTGATTTTTTGATTTTTTCACTCCGATTGTTGTTTTAACTGTTGCATTTAATAACATTATAAATCATCATCCATCAATTACATATATAATTATATAATTTCAACATTTCATAACTTCATGTATACACATAAACTTCAAAATATCACATTAATATATAACACTTAAAAATTGGGTTCAAAACATTATTCTAACCGTTTTTATAGTTATAGTCGTTGTATTATTCTTGCCGTTGCATAATTCTAGCCCAAAACAAATGAGTAAAAATTAATTACTATATGTGTTGCAGCCGCTTTTCATGACTTATTAGTTCAAGAGAAATTAAATATCCTCCTATGTTTATTTCTATAAATCCTCCTATCAAATTAAATGATGATATATGTCATATTAGTTTACTAAAATATCATTTAATTTCATTAAATTGAGATCAAATGTTACACATATTAATATTTAATTGGGTAGGAGAATTTATAGGAAGAAAAATTAGAAGGATTATATAATTTCTCTTATTTCAAAGTGGTATTAAAGCAAAGGCGAATCAATTAGTCCCACATCGCTGCCAGCAAATAAGAAAGGAAAGGTGGAAGCACTATAAAATATTAAAATGGGCATGGATGTAAAGGTTCAAGCGCACCAGAAAAGTGAACCAAATCTAATCTTGTAGGCACTGTAAAATATTAAAATGGGCATGAATGCCATAACAAAAAAACAAATCGTTTTATCTTTATATCAAATCATCTTAATAAAATGTTATAAAACATCGGTTATTCTATGGTAAATAACAAATATATTTTTCTTGAGCTTGTTTATGAAGAATTATTATTTCTCACAAAATTTGGGAGGAGGCCAGTCGGACAACGACTATAACCAGAGTCAAAGGTCAATTGCACTTTCGAGGAACAAGCTTCCACTTTTCTTCCAAGTAATTCAGCAATTTATCAGCAGAATTCGAGCTCTCGATCTTCTTCTCCCTGAAGTTACTTACTACTTTTGAGATTTCAATGGCAGACGCGGCTGTGGAATTCCTGCTGGGTAATCTGAAACAACTATTAGTCTACAACGCCAATTTGATCTCAAGCGTCAAAGACCAAGTTGACTCTCTGTGCAACGACCTCCGTCTACTTGCAGCTTTCGTCAAGGAAACAACCGAGAGCCGGAGCAAGAACGCCGTCGTCAACGAACTCGTCAGACGCATCAGAATCGAAGTCTATAAAGCTGAAGACATTGTGGATATGTACGTCTTCTACAAATCGATCCAGCAATCTCGAAGCGGATTCAAAAAAGCCTTTCACTTCGCAGAATACCCCGTGAAACTAAGAGCTGTTGGAAAAGAGATTGAAGATATACGGCGGCGCGTGAAGGAGATCTACGATAATAAATTGTTCGCAAATGAGGTTTTCAGGAAAACAGAGTCGTTTACCAGGTCTCCTCCATCTGTGGAGGAGGAAAACGTTGTGGGTTTCGAAAAAGAAGCGGAAAAAGTCATCGGGTGGCTCAAGGCGGAGACAGAGGAGCTGGAGGTTATCTCCGTCGTGGGTATGGGCGGTTTAGGTAAAACAACTCTTGTTAAGAAAGTCTTTAATGACTCATCGATTCAATATGAGTTTTTCATTCGATCTTGGGTTTATGTTTCTCAAGTGTATAGTTTGAGGGAAGTGTTTTCAAAAATCTTGTATGATGTTACTCGAGAAAACAAAGATACATCAAAATGGAGCGTTCAGACCATAGCTGAAGAATTGCATCGGCAATTGAAAGATGGGAGGTACTTAATCGTGTTAGATGACGTCTGGACCAAACCGGCATGGAATGTTTTAAAAATGGTGTTTCCCAACACCAAGAACGGGAGTAGAATCTTATTGACCAGTCGAAACAAGGATGTAGCCCTACACGCGAACACAAATCTCCCTCCTTATCAGCTTCGGTTCTTGACTGATGATGAAAGTTGGGAGCTTTTGGAGAAGAAGGTCTTCCCTAAAGGATCCCGTTGCTCCAGTGAACTGGAGATTCTAGGGAAAGAAATTGCAAGAAAATGCTACGGATTACCTCTTGCACTTGTGGTGATTGCAGGAATCCTTCGAAAGAAAGATAAAACACGTGGGTGGTGGGAGAAAGTAAAGGAGAAGGTGAGTACTTATGTAGCCATGGAATCAGAGCAATGTATGGATGTATTAGCATTAAGTTATAACCATTTACCTTACGATTTAAAAGCTTGTTTCCTCTACTTTGGTGTATTCCCTGAGGATTTCGAGATACCCGTTTGGAAACTAATCCATATTTGGGTTGCTGAGGGGTTTATTCAGCGAATTGGTGATGCAAGCCCAGAAGAAATGGCAGAAGAGAACTTACAGGATCTTGTGGACAGGAACCTGGTTTTGGTTGAAAAGAGAAAAGCTGATGGTGGAATGAAAACATGTCGGATCCATGACATGTTGCATGACATGTGTATCAAACAAGCCGAAGAAGAAAACTTCTTCAAGGACATCAAGGGTTTAGAACCATCTTCTTTCGTATCTATTGATCCAAACGTCTTCCGTCGTCTTTGTGTCCATTCTCGAGTTATTGATTACATTTCTTCAAAACCCGATGCTTCACATGTTCGCTCTTTCTTATGCTACTCAAAAGAAGAAAAGGCTTTACCCAACGATCTCATAACATACTTTCCAGGGAGCTTTAAATTGCTTAGAGTGTTAGACGTCCGATCTATCAATTTCCCTCGTTTCCCTAACATTCAACTCGTTCATTTGAGATACATTGCATTAGTAGGAAATTTCAAGGTTCTTCCTTCAGCCATCTCTAACCTCTGGAACCTACAAACGCTTGTTGTAGAGACATCTTCTCGTAGCATTACAGTTCAAGCGGATCTTTGGAAATTATTGCAGTTGCGACATGTTTACACAAGTGCAGCTAGTGATTTGCCCACTCCATCTTCAAAATCATCACGAAAGACTGTTACAGATCCTTTGGTTAACGAAAACCTAATAACCATGTCAAAAGTGTCGCCAAGTAGTTGTTCGGATGTGATCTTAACTCGGACGCCTAATCTTCAAAAACTAGGCGTACGTGGGAAATTGCTCTTGCTTTTGGAAGAGAAAAAGGGTAGTTGTAAGTTTGATAACATTACGAGGCTAACTCACCTTGAGAATTTGAAATTGTCGAACGATACATACCCAACTCCACCATTAGATGGAAAACTACGTAGTCTTCCCGAATGGTATAAATTCCCAAAAAAACTTAAGAAACTGACACTTTCTGACACGATGCTCGATTGGGAACACATGTCAGTTCTTGGGAAGTTGCCAGGTTTGGAGGTTCTGAAGTTAGGAGACAATTCATTCATGGGTGAACGTTGGGTGACACCTGATGGGAGTTTTATTCAGCTAAGAGTTCTTCAAATTGGGAAGACGGATTTGGTGCATTGGGAGGCTTCAGGCAATCAGTTTCCTCAGCTTCAACGACTTAGTTTGAAGCACTGTGAACAGCTTGAGGCCATGCCTTTGGGTCTAGGGGACATGTCGACACTTCAGGTTGTGGAGTTGTCTTGGATTTGTCGTTCTGCTGTTGCATCTGCACGTCTGCTTCAAAAGAATTTTAAGCTTCTTGTCTTCCCTCCAGATCAAGAGAATCAAAGTTGAGCTTCAATGGATGCTACCATGACTGGTTATAGATCGATATCTAGTAACAATTCTGTACTACTTTCTTTGTACGTTGTGTTGTGATAAATGGAAGCAAAAGTTTTTTGCTTAAGTATTCATTTCTGTTGCGTGGTTCTTTAGGAAGTCGTTATAAGGGTTGTTAGAGTTTGTTATGATGGTTATGAGCTTTGTGTATGGTTGGTTTGTGTATGTATTTTACTAGCCTGTATTTCTCATGTACGTTTTCTTTCAATCAATGAGATCTTTCTTTCATCTTTCTAGCTCTCATCTGGATTCCCTACATGGTATCATATTCGTAATTCTTGTTGATCCTTTCTTTAGCCCTCTTCAAATTCAATCACATTCATCATGTCATGTGTGAATCTGATGAGTTGGCTTCAAGTTGTTAGCATAGCATTATATTTGGACTGTATTTACTGTATTTTGTTTGTATTAGGCCCATTGTTTATAGTGTATAGTCTGGGCCATTGTATCGTGCATGTATTTTACCTATATGTTCCAAGTCCTTTCTACTTGGACCTTCCACTAATCCTAATTCAATTCTTGTTGCTACTGTCTTCAATGATGTTGGATTAACTATTTGGAAAATATTGCTTTATGTGCACAAAAAATAAATACTAGTAATTTGCATAAAAGCTACTATGTTTTTATTTTATTTTTTTCGATTTTTACACTACGTTCTTGTTTCAATTAAAATAGTAATTTTTCCAATTTGTTTCAATCTTTACCACTTGGTCATCCGATTTTCAATTGACGCGTGATTGCTACATGACACTCTTTCTATGAAGCGGCATGTTGACGTGTCACTATTTGTTGACATCATATTGAGGGTGTCAAAATCGACAAAACAATTAAAATATAGTTACTTTGTGATATCCAAAATTTAATGACTTTTGTTCAATTTAGTCTCATCATAAAAATAATGACAATTCTAAAAAAACAAATCATCAATGTACTTTTTAATGTTTGACAATATACATGTATATGGACTTTTTATGTGTATTGTGTTGATTGTTATATTGTGATGATAATGGATAACTAGTCCTTATGTACAACCCTTTCATGCATCATGATTTCCCCGTCCCCAAAACTTTTCTTGATTCACATGAACATGAGCTCGAACCATGGTTCGTCCCTTTGTATACAAATACAAAATAAGTTCAAACGATGAGGGTATTTTGATCATGTATATTACCAAGTCAATTAAAGTACAGTAGGAAAAAAAGTCATAGTAGTGGTGTCCTTATGGGGGGCGGCGAGAAGTTTGACTTTGTTTGGTTTTGTATAATAAGATACATAGATAAGGGTATTTTGGTCATCTACCTTAAAACTTTGGTTAATAGTCACGCATATCCTCTAAAAAGGAAGAATTGTTGTAATAATTTACCTTAATTAAATCATTCACTTCAATTCTTCTCTATTTTCCATGTGTAAAACATAGTTATTAGCTTGCATATAATTATGGGTTTAGTTGAATACTTATGTAACACCCCTAATCCAGCAGCACCAAGAAAGGAAAGGAAAGCCCTTAGTCAAAGAGTCAACTCGTCGAGTCCAAGGAGGAACTCGACGAGTTGAAGCGGGCTCGTGTCGTGATTTAAGTTGACAACTCGGCGAGTCGGGGACTGACTCAGCGAGTCAGGTCTGGGTTGGGAAACCCTAATTTCAGGACCCAACATCATATTTAAAGAACATTTTAGGCCTCCAACCCAGACTCCATCACCCTCCTCACCTACTCTCGAAACCCTAAGCCTCCATTGAATTACTCTCAAGCTTTCCTTGCCATTTTTGGGTGATTTGAAGCTAAAAGGAAAAAAGGAACCTTTGGTGATTCAAGAAGAGGCAGTAGATCCAGAGTTGGTGTGATATTTAAGATCATCTGAAGGTATGGAGCTCATACCTTGGTTGTTACTCACTTAGATCCCTTTTCCTAGCTAGATTTTATCACTTTTGGGCCATTTCCAAGGCCAATCCAAGTATTGTGCCTTTGAGAACAAAGAAGACTTCAAATCTGAGTACTTTTGGGCTCTAGAAGCTCAGAGTTGTTAGCTTTTCCCATCCATGGCTCCATTCTATGTCCTAGACCTCCATTGTAGCTAAGATTTAGTGTTTTAGCTTCATAACCCTTTGCATGCACGTAAAGTTGGCAACTTTACATGTAATGCCAGCCTAAGGAGCCCAGATCTGCAATTGGGAAGCATTGGAATGGACTGAAATCGTCAGAATGAAGATGAGGAAGGTGGACTCGGCAAGTCTGTTCTTGGACTCGGCGAGTCGGGTCGAAACCCTAACCTCTTCTGATGCGAGTCGAGTCAGTGAGTTAAGGCGGTGACTCAGTGGGTTGGTCAGAACCAGGACTAGGACTCAAAGGTTGAAGGACTCGATGAGTTGCGGGGTGACTCGGCGAGTCAAGTTGCGATTTGTGGGGATTACTGAGTTTATAAACTCGGCGAGTCAATAGGCTGACTCGGCCAGTAGGGTCAACCTGGAAGGTTGACTTTGACTAGGACTTTGACCAAGGTTGACTTAGTTTGACTTATGGAGGTCAGTTTAGGACTAAGTGTGATATTGATATTGGTAGCTCGGGGAGCTAGAGCAGCAGTGGTTCGTGGAGTTGTCAGTCAGCAGTCAGAAGTGTATCAGCAAGAGCTTCAGCAGAGCGAGGTGAGTTTCCCTTCGTGTGAATGGGTCTAAGGCCACAATGCTGGCCCATGTAGTTATGAGTAGAAAGACCCAGGGGTTAGCCTAGGAACTATATGCTAGTATGTCATTCCGGATCAAGGTCTGATGCCGGGCGGGAGCCCAAGAGGATGTTTGCATGTTAGATTATACTTGTTGTCTGTATGATACTTGTATGTTCCTGGTAGGGAGGTGAGGGTGGGCAAGGTCCCGTATCTCACCACTAGCAGTGTACGGACGATGTTCCGTATATCTTGAGTAGTAGAACAGGAGTGAGGCCCGAGATAGGAAAGGAGGGGGTGTGGGCAGGGGCCCGTATCTCACTAACAGTAGAAGTTTGGATGGGGTTCCATGACTCCCCAGTAGGCCCAATTCAGACGAGGCCTTATAACAGGAATACAATAGATAAGGGTTAGTTGTGTGTTATATTTTATGGTTATATGTTTAGCGGGCAGGGCCCAGAGAGAGGCGAGGCCTAAGAGAAACAGATTTGTATACCGAGCGGGGCCTGGGGCGGCGAGGCCCGAGGTAGTAGGCAAGGCTCAAAATAATGGGCATGGCCCAGTGCTTGCAGTATGTGATTATGCAGGGTATGTGGTAGGTTGGGGGAATTCACTAAGCTTCGTGCTTACGGTTTTCAGTTTTGGTTTCAGGTACATCCAGTAGCGGAGGGAAGAGATTGGGGTGATCGCATGGCACACACCAATGTTTATTCAGCCTGTGATGTTTTTACTCTGATAATAATATTTTTGAATAATGAGAACTATGTTTTTACAGAATGATTGATGACTTGTGGTTTTATTACTAAATTAAAACAAAAATTTTAGACTATATTTTTGGGATATGACAAGTTAGTATCAGAGCCTTGGTTTGAGGGATTCGAATACACTTTCGGGTGTGTCTGAACTCAAACTGAGGACATGGTATGAAAGTTTTCAAAAAGAAAATCATTTTTTAAAAGACATTTTGAGAGAAGGAAAGGAATTTGAAAAGATAAAAGAACTTGAAAAGAAAAAGGGTGTGGTGCATGCAATCAGCCGAGCTCAAGTAAGTACCCCAAAATACCCATACAAGTTTATGTTATGCATGTTGGGTTTTGAGCATTATAACACTCCTATGGTGTACATGCAACCCTAAATACCTTGTATCTATGTTTTATCTATTATACATGTAAATATCAATTTCCAAGGTATTTATCCTAACTAGCATAATATGAACGACATGTAATATAAAATCTAGTAGAATTACATACCTTTTAGTTGGTGCTTGATTCCATGTAGCTTGAGAGCCTAGTACCCCAAATGTGATACCTCAAATGGTTCACACAAAATCAAATGCACTTGGAATAACTTAGAGAGAATAAACACTTATGTCATTTTCGGCAAGCCCTCTTAGTAGTAACCCTAGTGCCGAAAATCACCAACATGGGGTCTTTATTTAGTTAGTTCACAAGTAGGGTTACACCATGTAAACCCTAATTGACATGGCTTTTCATTTCCTATGATGCATGGGTTTATTATGCCAATGGAGTATCCATGGACCACCATGTGGGTTTTAGCCCAACTCCATAAACCATGGATCATTAGCCCACTATATAAGAATAGATGATTTACACAATCAACCCCATATATTTAATTAGTCTCTCATTGATCACTAAATTAATTCCAAATTAATTCTTGATCAATACTAATTAAATAATCCTATTAATATATTAGAACTTATAATATATTACCTTAAGTGTTATTTCTCTCATTTTAGTCTACCTAAATGCATGATGTCATGCAACCCAAATGGACCATGTCGGGTCGGGTCAAGTCTTACCAATTATAGTTATGGACTTAGACATTAATCCAATAGTCTCCCACTTGGATAAGTCTAAAATTATTATTGCAAGTATGACTTCAAAACCCGACTAGTAATCGTAGCTCTCAAAAGCCACTGTCGAACTCTGAACAAATCAATGACGTGTCCATTAGATAAGTGATCATATATTCCTCCATTCTAGATATCATATGGACTGAGACATGGACTACAATCATTCTCTCTGTCCATCTGTTTTTTCCCGATTTACGATTTATGATGACAGACTAATTGAACAAATCAAATCAGTCCAGGCCCGACTTTATGTTTTGTCATCACTAAATCATCGAGGTGTCCACAGATATCACTTTTATCCCTTTAAGGGTAAAAGGAATGGATAAACTTTGACTCATATGCTTGTACTAACTATATGTTGAATCATACCCAAAGGCACGTTTTATAACATCGAGTTACCAATGCGTTTTCGTGCAATCAATGTA